AATATACTACAACGAATAGAAATAATAACTATTTGAAAAAAACCCAACCCAAGCGGGGACTTTTGTATTTACTCTAGTGCAGCAGAATAACATAAGGGGGCACTTATGGCACCTTGTGAAGTATTTCTATAATACCTGAGCCCTTTATGTAGGGCCAAACTACCTAAATTAATTCCCTTGTTTCATTCATGTTCGTTCGTTGTAGTACTTGCACCTATTTCACTTAAAATAACTAAAAACCCCGGGATGGAATTGGCACAGATGATCATGGCTATGATACCTTTCAAACAAATGTAGTTTAAGTCGTGGGTGCAGTGTCCATACGTTTTTGACCAATGTCCTTTTAACCAGTAATCAAAACCTAGAATTATATTTGGTTCAAATTTGGGTATTACCTTAAATGAAATAATTTTAGTACTTTCATCAAAAGTCACAGGTAAGTCCAAGATTCCAATAATATTTTGTGAAGATCCGTCAACAGTATGAGCGGTCCTATAAATTGGTTTAAGTTTATATCCTAACTCTAAAAATTGCAAGTGACTGTTAGCACCTTAAACGCAACAGTTGGCATCACTGTCTAAAATTCCAGTAAAAGTACTATTTCCAACATTAAATTTAATATAAGGTATATCATCTCTATTTTCGCCAAAAATCACTGAAGCTACTTAAATATTTCTAAAGAATACTTTTAAATAATATAGCCAATCATTAAATACCTTTCTACAAGTTGTTATCAGGAATATGATTATATTCCATCGAGACTCTTCTCGCTTCATCATGAAGTGAAGCTCGATGAGGCTTAATCATTTTTTTTGGAACTGGTTCAGAAGGTTTAATTTTGGTTGCTAAATGTTCGCTATTAGTTACATTTTTATTATTTCAGACACATGTGTGTACAGTCACTCCATGCCTACAACAATTGAAACGAATGGAATCAGTAATACTCAATCATTTTTTATAAATGTGTCCAATTTTTTTACTTTTTGAACAAATTAATTTATTATCGTTTTTAGCTGTCACCCCTAAGTTAGGCCTAGCCGCTAGGTTAATTGGTGTTTTACGCGTGCATCATCTTCTAAAGTTAACGTCTGTAAATAAATGTTTTGCCTTTATTGTCCTACTTCCCTTTTGAATATATTTTTTGTATGTTTATTCACTCAATGGACATTTGATTTCAATTATAACATTCTGGCCTATTCCATCTGGTGAACCAGTAATCATGGGAAATTCTTTACTTATGAAAAAACCACACCTCTTTTTTTTATTTAGTTTTGTCTGTACCACCTGAAGCACTTTTTGTTCCTAAACAGTATCATTTCATAGCTGGAGTATTAGGCAATTTCCCACCCATGACTAAACCCACTAATGCACCATCACACGTTTGGCATCTACTAACTTCATAAGCTTTAGATGCCGTTATTTTAGCAAACCTTAGTTCATGCCATAAGTTGCTTTCAGCCTGAGCCCTGTACATTGTTCTGCCCTTACTAGAATATCAGTTGTAAATATTGTTTAATTTTTTTTAAATCATAACTTTTATCTCTATACATTAGAGCTAGCTGGTACATTGATATTGTATCAAAATCCTTTGGTATATTTTGCACATATCTTAGTAGCTTACAGTTTTTTATACATTTGGTTGTAGCTTATCCCACAAATTTATATACAACACAGGTATCTTCAGATGTTGAAGCTATTCCTGTACCCATTTCCAAGGCCGTATACATATTTTATAGAAGTACCAACTTTAGATAAAGTTGACTTATTCCAATAGCACTCAATCTGTGTACAAGAAGGTACTTCACTCCTTCGATGTAACTACCTACATCAGTAAAGCAACGGAATGCTCGCAACCATCTGTCGATGCCGCACAATCATGGCATTGTATTCCGATAACAGTACATTTTGTTTCTTTCACAATAGCAATGATCGTGTATGGTTTAGACTGAATTTTGTGTCCAGGACATACACGACATATTATATCGTACACAAATTTAGGTTTCTTCTTACTTGGACATATCCAATATCATCATCGCCATGAGGTTCTCTTAAAGCTCTGAAACAACCAACGCAACAAACTATTTTTTATTTACATAACCTAACTTTGTGAACAATGATTTATATGAAGTTCAAAACATATATTACTTCCTGTTATTAAAATATTAGTTAAAAGATAAATAGAATTAAACGTTAAAATGTACTTACAAAGATGTCTTCGCGTTTCTGAATTTTGAAGCACAAAAATCGTTGTTTCTTGCAAAATAGTTTGCCACCATCAACAAATCTATCTCTGGTAAGTTGGAATTATTCCCTTTTTCTGAATCCAGTTTCCATCGTGGTATTGATTATAAGTAATTCACAATTGTTTCGTCGGTATGAACATAAGCAGAGAAATAGACAGCCTTTCCCGCCTATCCGTATTTGTTTACCGGTTAATGACGTCACGCGCTCCTATTAATGTTTATAATCACGGGATAAATATAGCTTTTAAAATTAATATTATTTAATTCAATGTCATTTATTCAATTTAAAAATTGTGATTTCCGATATATTCTAATAATACAAACTATAGTAAAATTAACACAAAACATGAATTAACGATTAGTGACAACATCCCTATTGAGGAGTGTCTGGTCAAACGGAGATATTTCCGCCATAACATAAATTGTTGATAAATGAAACTGAAAACCGATAACTTTAAATTAAGTCACTTAAGATATACAGCGTGAATTTTAAGTTAACTGAGAAATTTGAAAATCAAGTAAATACAAAAAGTGCGAACAGTTAAAAACGGTAAATGTACTACACCCCCTTCCAAAAATGTTGATATTTATCGGTTACAAAATATCCTAAAATGGCGCTGTTTTGTAAGCAACATACCCAATACCGGTAAGCTGTCTCGTCAATAAAATCCGCGAGCACACTGCCGAACTACACCAACAATACTGGCTCGACCTGGAGACGTGCAGGCAGACCAAGCTCGCTTTGCCACGGGTGAACGCTGCCTTCTCCAAAACTCTCCTACAGCTAAGCAAACCTACATTGCGCATGGTAACGGGTGCTATCACTGGACATGCACATTTTAACAGACATCTTTTTAACTTAGGTGTCACGGACAGCTATGCAGAGGATGCATGGAGGCAGAAGAAACAGCTACTCACGTTCTGCTGGAATGCAACGGAGTGGCCGAATACCGGGCGAAATACCTCGGCTCACCGGGAAACCTTCAAGAGGCAGTCACCAATGTGAAGGCCCTGGGGGCGTTCCTGGGGGAGCTGGGCTGGCTGGAGTGATTCCGGCCATACACCCTCCTCACGCAAAACAGGCGCCATAAGGACGTCGAGTTGCGGAAACGCCCGTAGCAACAAGAAGAAGAAGAAGTAAGCAACATAGCTTTTTCGATTCTTAAAGTAGGCTTATTTGAAATAATTTATATACACACATCAAAAGTGTCTAGGGATCAACATATATTTTTGCAATAACTTTTCTCCTGATTGATATTAATTAAAATTTTCTTTAAGGATTCATTAAATAAAGTGTTTTCGTTTGTCACAGTAACGATAAACCAAGTCACCTTTGCATTAATATAGAAATTTGCCATTTTCCTAATAAAGGGATTTTTGACATTTGAACCACTAACACAAAAGTTCGAAAAAAAGACTGAAATAACAGTTTTCTCTAAAATTTTATTGGGTAACTTAAACAATTAATAATCCGTATTTCTACCGCGAACACTAACAACACAAGAACATCGGTTTGGCATACTCAAAATGAGTTCATCCAAATCACGCTGTGGAATGGCCGCCCATGTTCGTTGCAACAACAAAAAAAGGTCTTCTTGCGACTGGATACCCTCCATATTCGGCAGAGCTCTTCTCTGTAGCATATCCCATGCATGCTCAATCGGGTTCAAGTCTGGCGACTGAGCAGGCCAGGGCAGGACATTGATGTTAGCTGCGGCGAGAGTCTGTCTTACAACTCTTGCGGTGTGCGGTCGTGCATTATCATGCATTAACTGAAATAAGGGACCGATTTGCACTTGTAGAGGAACGATGACGTCTGATACAATCGTCTCAGCATAAATTTGAGCGTTGAGGTTGCCTCTGATCCAAATCAACTCAGTTCTTCCGCCGATCCAAATACCCGCCCATACCATGATGGTTCCACCACTATAAGGATGGACTTCCTGGCAGGATTTTAATCGCTGCTGGCGTCCAGGGGTTCTCCAGTGTCGTATACGTCTTGTATCCGGTCTCATACCAAAACGAGACTCATCAGAAAAGCACACGAAACGCCATTGTTCTTCTGCCCAATTTCTGTGTTCAAGAGCCCATTGATATCGAATCCTACGATTGTGCATTGCTATAGGTGGTACCCGTAGCGGTCTTCGGGAATGAAGGTTCACTTCATGCAAGCGGTTTCTGACTGTTTGGTCGCTAATTAAGTTCCCTGAAGAGTGATGAAGCCTCACGGCTAACATCATGGCGGTTATTGTTGGAGCTCTTCGAGTTAAGATTTGAATGTATCGGTCTTGTCTCCGTGTGGTGCAGCGATACCGTCCTCCATGGCGCTCAGCCACGGTACCAGTGCTTCGGTATCGTGTCCAAAGTCGACTGATAACACTCTGACTTGTATTCAGAGCTAAAGCCACAGTACGTTGCCGGGAACCAGCTTCTATCATTCCCACGGCTCTGAGCATTTCTTCCCTGCTTAAATGACGTCGCCGCTCCATAATAACGTTGGTTTTAATCAGTAGTAGGGAAACAGTAGCACTAATAATGTCTTCAATGCGTTGTATGTTTTTATAGGGAAAATATTGACAGCTGATTTTCATCTTTTACTCGAATTTGATTCACAGTTCCTGATTCAAATTATGAAATGCACCAAAAAGGATCCATATAAATTTATAAAATCATAAATTTATTACAAAGCCACATCTCAATCTCAAGAAATCCGCATAAAAATGCTTGATCCCTAGACACTTTTGATGTGTGTATTTACAAAATTAGTCAGTTTACGTGGAGACAAAAAAATAACAAACTTTATCAACATCAATTTATTAATCATTAATAATAATTACCTATCACACTTTACACTCTTAAAACAGCAATGTCATTTTCATGGACTCATCTGAGTTACCACCTTGCGTGGTGCATGGTGCTTTTGGGCTTCTATTATTTAGTTTTGATCTATTGAAATAGTCAGCATTCGATCGTCTAGATTAGTTTCTGAAAATATTAGTTCGGGAACCTAATATGTACATGTGCAGTAATAGTAACGTAGGCAAACATTTCATTTGCTTACCTATTTATTGTACTGTCTACAAAGAAAACTTTGTAAATACACTAAATCATCATGGTGTACGTACATGTAACGCCCGATTATAGTAAGACCTAATTTTAGTTCTACACTCATAAATGAAAACTAGTAAAGATAAGGCATATCCTATTAGAAGCACAACGAATAGTTCCATTAATGGTTCCGGATTTGGATCTTGATTCTGACGAAGAAATTCAATTAAATATTTTATACGATCTCGATAAATTAAAGACTTGTAGTATTGTGCCGCGACACCGCTCTCTGTACAGCGTTCAATTAATTTGCTGTACGAATCTAAGAATGGGGAACCTCGACGAAAGTATGTTCCCCTGCACATATTGACTATTGGCTGCATTATTGGATATACCTGAATTTCTCCAAACTGATCCAATAATTTGAAAGAATAAGTCGTATATGATATTTGGGTTAAAACAGTGTACAATTTTTTCTTCTCATCTTTGACCTTTCTCAAACAATCCATTACAGATACACAGTCCACTGTTTTATTTATACCAAATACTGTATTCCAAGTCCAACCTATCAAAGGCTTACATTCTTTAAATGTCTCTTGCAAAGTTTGTATCTGATGACGTCTTATTGGTGTTGTTGTAGCACTCGAAAGATAAGCTTGATTTAAAAAGGAAATAAAAAACACAAATATTAGCAAAGAACATACAATTAAACGGAGGGAGTCATTTTTTCTTACATGACTGTTACGCATATTAGAACAAACATATCCAAATACAATGAGGATACCGTAACTCATTTCTTTCTTATTCTTACTGAAAATAGAATATTTTACAGCAGCATAGCAGAAAAATACCAGGAACCCTGAAATTATTGCTACTGAGTATGAATTATATTGTAATAAGACTGCCCTCCAGCTAGTTAGCATACCGGCTCTTGCTACAATAGCAATGCCATGATCTACGGTATAAGGGTACGAATAGTCCAATGCTCTTGTTCTATCAAATGTTACAGTATATCCTCCTATAGCGCCATCCAATTTCTTTTGTTCTACCCAACTGAGCATTCCCGTGTAGGTATAATTTCTGGTGACTCTCCCAAAAAAATTATCTTTCTCAAATTTCACTAATTCAGCAGTCACACCAGCATATTTATTCCACATTTGCAATGTCATATCAGTAATACCAGGATCCTTATTTTCAATTTTGTTTAAATTCACAAATGGCCAAAAGTGGTGGCTAACCATTTTCACATGACATCCTCGAAAGTTCTTGGGCTTTTTAATATTAAAAATGTTAGTTTGACCAGTTAGCTTAGAGCACCGTGTTACATATTCTAGTGTTTTAATATCTGGTCTACCGCAAGCGTCTAACTTACCATCGAACGTGAAAATCTCATAATCGTTATCCACTTTGTTAAGTACACTCACATTAAATATATTTTCTTCAAAGAGTTGGTTTGATAACATATCAAGTTGAATGCTTAAGTCTTGTAGGATTATAATAAAGTTAGCTCTTGGGTTCCAATAATAATCTTTTTTCATAGATTTGATACCAGTTGCTAATACGTCAACATCATCCCCGTAAATAATATACAAAGAGTTTCTAAAAGGATTTTGAATCCACAAAAATGATCGGATAATGTATCGGACATTGTTAATATTTTTTAATATGTTATCCGTTTGCGAAGATGCCTTAAAGTTCACAACAGTCGCGTCTACATGTGGTTCAGTTATCTGGATTTCTGCAACAAGTTTTTGTATGCAATCGCCGAGATCATTTCCAACTACCCTGCTTTCAACATTATGAAGAAAGCAAAAACTAATGAAAACGAATAGTTGGATTTTAAGTTTTGTAATAAATACACCAGGCATCTTGGATTCGGTAGTGACAAAGAAGGAGTGAATGGATGCCTGCTTATTATTCGTAGTTAAGTATTGGTTATTTTATTTGCTATGCTTTTTGTGTTATAAGAGGTAGTGAGGTACTTACATATTACTAATGGAATTCGTCTATCAGTGTAATCACCGACGTCACTTAATGCAACCATGTTTAAAAATAAAAGTTCTAGCTATGGTTTTATTTGCATTAGATGCTACACATGGTGTTACCAACGGAGCTAATTGTTTAAATATTTATTTTGTAATGACTTTTTATAGATTTTAATGGTGTACTGGTAAGCGTATATTTTTTACACTAGTAGAAGGTATTTTTTTTGTTATAAGTATTTAAGGGGTGGAAAAGAAGCATGTTGCCCGCCTGATGGTAAGGGGCCACCGTAGCTTATCTAGATGCTTGCGATATCAAAAATATCACTTGCGTCGTTGCCTAACCTGACCTAATCCCCTACACCGTGGAATCCTAAAACCTTTCACATCGAGGTTACTTCCTCTGACGGACGTTCAAAATCAGTATCCCGTCTGATTTTGCAATAATCGGTCATCGAAGGACCCATACATAAGTATTGAAAATTCTGTTGTTTAAAACAAAATTGAGATTCTATAACGTTAAATGAGGGAAATAAGTAGGTACCACAGAGATACGTACAAAATTTCATCCAAATCCGTTCAGTAGTTTTGCGTAATTGAGTAACAGATATACAAATTTTAACATTTATTATATTAGTAGGAACTTAAGAAGGATACTTGCGGAAGCCCACAAATTCATTCCCGTTAATTTTAGTTTTTTAAAAATCCCTCAGTAAGATAACATGGTAGATGGTGAGTGCTGTTCGTTGGCTACACTTCCTGTGGGCATCCTAACTAGGGATCGCTAATGGTAGCTATTTTATTTTCAGTTTCAGTCCCAGACGGAGACAAGTTATCAGCAGATGTAACAGAACATAATATGTTAACATCTCTGTCAACAAAAGTAATATGTTTAAATAATCCTTAGCTAAATCAAAGGACAACAGCCAAAAATATCCAAGTCCTCCGACAATGTAATCAGTATGAATCGTATCAGTATAAAAAAGGCTAATTTTTCATAGATCTTGCGAAGATCTATGAAAAATTAGCCTTTTTTATTATGACACTGTAAAAAATATCCTGGTAATCGAAAGATATGGCATATGCGCTATTTAAGTAGCTAAATAAATTTATATTTGTTTCTTAGGTTTTCACGCACATCACTCATTAAATAAAAGTAGTTCGGGTTAATGCACGGACTTAATTTATTTATTGAAGTTTCGCAGCCTTTTCAGGTCTGTTTCGTCAGAATAATCATTATTCTGGTTAATGCACGAACTTTATTGACGTTTCGCAGCCTTTTCAGGTCTGCATCGTCAGAATAATGATTATTTATTATAACGTTAAAACTAGTTTTATTAAGTAAATTCATTCAAAAGTACCTTTATTTTATATTATAAGTAACCATAATAATGTGCCATATCGTACTATACAACCAGATATACGGCAAAGCCTGCCGACCATCCTGCGCTTGTACGAGACACTTCAAAACGGTTTACGGGGTAGGGGTACGGGGGTTGTAGAACTTATAATTGCAGCTAGTCGACTCATATGCATTCCTTCGTCTTACTTCGTTGAGATTGTGCGCTCCCTGTCACTTGATTGATTTTTAACTAACACGCTTTGGACATTGGAACACGATTATCAGTTTTGTGTAAGTATGTATGAACTGGAATCGGGGGGCACGGCAGTGCGAAGCAAACACTGCCGAACCATCCTTTACTGGAACCATTTCGCCGCATTTTCAGGCCCCTATTTGAGAACCTCTGGATAAGACCAGAACGCAGAAATTTTCTTCATCCAGTAAGCTATAATAACATACTTAAATTCCAAAATTTCACAATTTCAAGGGTACAAAACCAGGTGATACATGACATGACACCATTACACCGATGCATTCATACGTGCATTATAACGTGTAAACGCAAATTTATCAAACCTACAATTGACTGGTTATTCAATCAACCTTTTTCAAGTAGCAAATTTCCATCGTCAATGGGTAGCGGTTCTGGCGACAGATTGGTGCAATGGTGTCATGTAGCACTTGGTTTTGTATCCTTGTGTACCCTTCAACGGCCAAGTCACACAACATTATCTATAATAATAAAGAAATCGCAGTAAAGAACCTTAGACTTTGCACGACTTTGACTAGATTTCATTACTTTTTAAAGATAAACAAGCAGCTCCATCGAGACTTGGCTAGTTTTTTACAGAATGTTTTTTAGTGGTCATGTTTCTCCGAGATGTGGACAAGTTTGTGTGATTTGTGGTCACTCCGATTTACGTAGAAGACAAAGACTATAACGAAAAGAAATAATAACTATTTGAAAAAACCCAACTCAAGCGGGGACTTTTGTATTTACACTAGTGCAGCAGAATAACTTAAGGGGGCACTCTGGCACCTTGTGAAGTATTTCCATAATACCTGAGCCCTCTATGTAGGGCCAAACTACCTTAATTAATTCCCTTGTTTAATTAATGTTCGTTCGTTGTAGTACTTGTACCTATTTCACTTAAAATAACTAAAGCCCCCGGGATGGAAATTGATGCGCTTTGGCACAGATGATCATGACTATGATACATTTCAAACAAATGTAGTTTAAGTCGTGGCTGACGTGGGTGCAGTGTCCATACATTTTTCATCAATTTCCTTTTAACCAGTAATCAAAACCTAGAATTATATTTGATTCAAATTTAGGTATTACCATAAATGAAATAATTTTAGTACTTTCATCAAAAGCCACAGGTAAGTCCATAATTGCAATAATATTTTGTGAAGATCCGTCATCAGTATGGGTGGTTCTTATTGGTTTAAGTTTATATCCTAACTCTAAAAATTCCAGTTTAAGTTTATTTCCAGCACTAAATTTATTATAAGGTATCTCTATTTTTGACAAAAAGCACTACTAATATTTAATAGAAGCTACTTTAATATTTCTAAAAAATACTTTTAAATAATCTAGTCAATCATTAAATTCCTTTCTGCAAGTTGATTTATTATGAACATGATTATATTCCATCGAGACTCTTGTCGCTTCATCATGACGTGGAGCTCGATGAGGCCTAATCAGTTTTTTGGAACTGGTTCAGAAGGTTTAATTTTGTTTGCTAAATGTTCGCTGTTAGCTACATTTTTATTATTGCAGACACATGTGTGTACAGTTACTCCTTGCCTACACTAATTGAAACAAATGGGATCAGGAATACTCAATCATTTTTATAAGTGTGTCCAAATTTTTTACATTTTAAACAAATTAATTTATTATCGTTTTTAAAATCTACAAAATGAACTTTAGGGAAGATGCACGCGTAACACATGAATTAACCTAGCGGCTGGGCCTTACTTAGGGGTAACAGGGCCGCGAGCTAATCGCGGCGCTAGGATGCGGAACCCCCGGTGCTGCGGTGCATGGTCGAGGCCATGCTCAGCGACGAGACGGCTTGGAAGGCGGCGGGAGGGAGCGGGAGAAAAATCTTCTGGCCGCTTCCTCCCGCCGCAGAAGGACAGTTAAGGGAAGGCGAAGGCGCGCCCTGGCCGCGCCCGCCCAGTGACCCCCTACCTGAGGGAATCCCTAGCTGCCCGTCATGGCGTTAGCTATGCTGGTCACTGATAGATTCCGTGACGGCAGCCCTCTCTTCTAGTTCTGACCTACATGAGAGGACCGCGGAAGGGCTTGCGAGGGAAACGCCTAGGCAGCCCTTCCGCAGCAGACGGGGAGCGGTGCAGTGGGCAATAGGTCGCGCACCTACCTCCTAGCGCGGGCAGGTCTGCGCACGTCTGCGGGATCACACGAAATACCCCGGGTGATCCCTGCCGTGGAGTGTTAGGACTCCAGCAGTGATAAAAGCTGTGAAGGCTCGAATTGAAAGAAATCCCAAACGTAAGCAGAAACTGTTGGCCCTTCAGATGGGGTTAAGCAGAACCACGGTGAAAAGGGTGTTAAATGACTTAGGGCTTCGGGTATATCGAAGAAAAACAGGACGACTCATGCGTAGAACAGAGTCCGATGTGATTATAGAGCAAATCCTGTTTTAATAGCTAAATGAGATTAGAAATACAATATCTATCGACGTATGTTTTTAGAATTTTCGTATCTTATTAATTTTTCGAAATATAGAATCGAATAACGTTTCATATGATATTTCGTCCGCGTTACAACGCACGGAGTGTACATGCGACTGTGCGCGCGGCGCGGGGGCATTGCGAGTGTCCGGTCCGTACGTCAGTTCGACCACTATTTAATGGAGAGTGGGCGTTTTTGTGACAAGTGCTAAACTTCTTTTGATTTTTAATATTAAACCAATTTATTAAATGTTTTGTATGTGAAAGCAAAATAAAATAAAAAAAAGCATAATTTTAGAGATGTCGCGATCACTGAAAATATTGAGAATGCATAATGAAGGTGCAGAAGAGCCCGAACTTAGTTATTCATTTTCAAATGTTCATGTCGAATATTTAAATAAAAATGTAGATACTGGTAAGTATACGATTTATAGTGATATTACTTCGTGATTAACACTATTTAATTTCTAAATAAACCTACATTTTGTCTATAATTGCTTTTTATCTTAGTTAACAGTTGTGGACGATTTATATTTATATAGGACATTTTTTGACGACGATTTGTAGAACCCATTTTAGGCGCGCGAAAATACAATTTGCGTAATGAGTATGCACAGGATAATCATTTTTTCTGTTATAGTATGCATTAAATAGTAGACGCAAAATAGACGTCTTATAAAAAGTTAAGACGATTTCACACGAATATTATTGAACTTCTAAGCGTTTTATGTTACTATAGGACGTTTTTCTATGAAATCTATGATACAATTTGATGATTTGATGTTAAGATAGGACGTTGTAAATGGGATAATGAGATTAGTTAGGACGTTGTTCATTTGAAAATTTCGTTAAATATAAAGATATATTGTTTTTAATTAGCTTAATTACTTACTAGGTACATATTATTGCAATATACATTTAAAAAGTATTACTTTTAATATCTAATACAATTATTTTTTATTTCAGTTGTGAATGTTGTAAAAAACAGCATGTTGTCAACTTTACCCCCTGGTGCAGAAGAAATTAGTCAAGAATTGGCTGATATATGGGAGGAAGTTTTGCAGGAAGATGGTGGGAGCAAGAAAATTATCTGCGACAGCTCAATACGGAATGTCATGTCTGTTCAGTCTGTTAACGATATTTACAGCAATCAACCTAGTACATTTTCTTTGGAAGTGCCGTCTAGTTTCGAAAATTCACCATTAATACAGCTTGAAGAG